ATAGATAGATAGATAGATAGATAGATAGATAGATAGATAGATAGATAGATAGATAGATAAATCTTTTTTAAAAATTTTTCTTTTTTTATTCACTTTTTTCACACAATTTATTTTGGTAACATTCTTCCCCTTTCCCAGCTCCTCCGAGATCCTCTCCATCTCCCTGGCTATCCAACTTTATGTTCTTTCCACATCTGAGAAAACAAAACAAAACAGAAGCAGAAACTAACACAACAACAGTGGAAAGCACAGAGAGAAAGAGAGAGAGAGAGAGAGAGAGAGAGAGAGAGAGAGCAAACAAAAGAGTCTCTTTTTTGTTGACCAGCTACTCCTGATCACGGGGCCTTCCCGGGAGTGTAATTGATGTGCCCAGTGTCACTCCACTGGAGAAAACACATATTCCCTCTGCAACAAGTATAGATTGCAGAGAGAATTTTGGCAGGGGTGGGACTTTAAGCCCACTTCCCCTTCTCTCCAGTGTGGTTTTGTCTGACTTGAACTGTGCAGGTCTTGTGCATTCTGTCATCATCTCTGTGAGTTCATATGAGCCTCAGTTCTGTTAAGACATATTAAATCTAACTGCAGCTATTTTAATTAGCTTACTTCCATACCTCAGTGAACAGGAAGAAGATGAGCTGTGCCTACATCAAGTTGTCAGTCCTGCTGGCTAGTGTTCATGGTGCTGAAGGTACTCTGCATGCTACCAGAAGAAAGGTAAACACCAACTCTGCTACAAATCCTTAGATTTGCAGTGGTGACCTGTCTGCATGATATGCTGGCTCAATGGTGTCACAAATGTGGGAATAACCAACCACTATCTGATTAGGAACTCAGGCTCACTCCATTACATAGTACCCACATTTGGCTCAGGTGGCCAAGAACCTGAGATAGCCATTGATCTAAATTAAAAAAAAAATACTATCATTCTGCTAAACGGACCTAGCAATAAAGTGATTCCTAATTATATTCTGCTATAGCCATAGGTCAGCATCTCATTCAGCCATCTATGGAGAAGCTTCCCCCTGCAGTGGATGAGAACCAATATAGAGTCCAGCAAATGGACAGTGTGCTAAGGGTGAGAGACCTTGGAACACTCAACCCTAAATGGAATGGCTTCATCAAACCCCTCCAATCAGAGCTCAGGGAACTATGACAAAGATGAGGGGAAAAGGCTATAAGAGTCAGAGGGGATGGAGGTCATCAAGGAAGCATGCCTTACAGGCACGATAGAACTGAAGCACATACATACTAACAGAAACTTGGGACAGCATGCACAGAACCTGCGGAAGTCCAAGCTCGAGGGGAACTAGACACTAGCTCCCATTCCTAACTCAGAAGCCATCTCCAACTGACAACTGCTCACAAAAGATAATTCATTTTTCTCTACTGAAGTCTTACAGGGCATATAAGTAGATAGATAGAGTTCATGCACTCTTTCTCTTTGAGTTGTTTGGGTGCGTGGAATTAAAAACACAATGTGAACATTGTTATAAAGAACTTTTCTGCCAGCATCATTCTGTATAAAGAATTTTTAAAAATCAAAAGAGAGCAGATATATTTGAAAGTAGAATTGACCTGATTGGTTCAGTTTTACAAATGTAAAAACTCAAGATTCAGGTCACTGGGGATCTTTTGCCCTATTCAGAAAGAGACTCTCCCTATTAACCATTAAAATATTCCCTCTTTTTAAATTTGCAGTATCATGACCTCTTTACAAATTAGACATTTAGGGGAAACTACACTTCCTTTAGCAAAAGAATTTTTTAATGCCAGAGTTCTTCCCCTGTGCATTTTCTTTGATATTAAGAAAGGAAAACAATACCAAGTAGTGGTGGAGCAAGCCTTAAATCCCAGCACTCAGGAGGCAGAGGCTGGTGTATCTCTGTGAGTTCAAGGCCAGCCTGCTCTACAGAGCAAGTTCCAGGACAGGCTCCAAAGCTACACAAAGAAACCCTGTCTCAGAAATAAAAAAAAAGGAAGAAAGAAAGAAAGAAAGAAAGAAAGAAAGAAAGAAAGAAAGAAAG